CCTTCCGAGGAGTGGCTGGTGGGTTTGAACTGCCAGCCATCTGGTTAGCAGGCAAGTGTCTTAGCCACTATGCTACCAGAGCTCCTGAGCTCCTATTAGTATTAGTATTACTTTCAAATTACTTTTTTATTTATTTTGTTTATTTATGACACACAGAGACTTTATTAACTTTATTATAGTCATTTTTCATTGTTGTTGACAAAAATCACGTTTGATACCTCATTTTTGCTAAAATCAAACAATCCATGTGCCCTCTCACCATCTGTGGCATCTCGATCCCTATGAGGTAAATTGGGAATAAACTGCTATTATATTTGATGTGCCAACCCCATCTTCATTGGTACATTTATCAAACAATTTACTTGACAAAATTTGTGCTAATGAAATAGCTCTGATTCCCTCCAAGAATTATAAAATATAAAACAAATGGAAACATCAGGGATGTTTATTTTCATCTATCTTTTTTTGGATGTTTGTAGGAAAACTTGTTCCCTAACACGTTTAGTTTAATTTTGCTAGAAGTAGAAGAATGATTAAAATCATGTCTTCCCAAGTTTTCATAAATTGTACAACTTTGTAAGTCATTTATCTTGCTTACATCTCTTCTGTAACTCTTTTTACAGTAAAAGAAACATAAAACATAAAAATGGAGAATTGGACTTTGGTAACTGAGTTTATTCTTGTGGGGATACCAACCACCAGAGTGCTAGGGGGACTCCTGTTCTTGATTTTTTTATTGGCCTATTTGGTGACTGTCCTTGGAAATGGCCTCATCATTACCCTGATCATTTTGGACTACAGGCTGCAAACACCCATGTATTTCTTCCTCAGCAATCTCTCTTTCAGTGAAATATTAACCACAACTTGTGCTGTTCCCAAGATGCTGGCAGGCTTCCTGTCAGAGAGGAAGAGTATCTCATTTGGTGGATGCTCTGCACAATCCTATTTCTACTTCATTTCTGGATGCACAGAGTTCATTCTGTTTGCCGTCATGGCCTATGACCGATATGTGGCGATTTGCAGCCCCCTTGAGTATCCGGTGATAATGACTAGCTCAATCTGTGTTCGCCTTGTCATTCTTTCCTGGGTGGGTGGCTTTCTCCTTATCCTGCCATCCACCATACTTAAGGCAGGACTGCCATACTGTGGTCCCAATGTGATTGATCACTTTTTCTGTGACAGTGCCCCCCTCCTTCACTTGGCTTGTGCTGACATTCGTGTCATTGAGCTATTGGACTTCCTCAGCTCCCTTGTTCTGTTCATCAGCTCCCTCTCTCTCACAGTGGTCTCCTATGTGTACATCATCTCTACTATTCTGAAGATACCCTCAGGCCAAGGTCAACGTAAAGCCTTTGCCACTTGTGTCTCTCACTTCTCTGTGGTCTCCCTGGGCTATGGGATATCCATCTTTGTTTATGTCCGTCCTTCTCAGAAAAGTAGCCTGCACCTCAACAAGATTCTCTTCACCCTTTCAAGTGTCATCACACCTCTCCTGAATCCCTTCATCTTCAGTCTACGGAATGAAACTATGAAAGAAGCACTGAAGGACATTTTGGCCAAGGGTCAAAACTTTCTCAAAAGGCTGATGTCCACATGATAGAATCTTTGAAAATCATCCCAACCCTAGGGATCCTTAGCCTTACCAATAATGATTCCATGAAATGCCCAAATTATTTACATGAGTAGATGGTCTAAGTTATGATATGATCTCCAGTTGTAGTCACATTATAAAATGGGTTCATGTGCAACTCAGTTATTAATGATTCTATTACAAAAAGTAAAAATTGCAATTTGGAAGTAATAGAAGATGGTGTGGATAGAAGTGATAAAAGTAATAATACAGTATTTGGTATAGAGCTACAATTGTACATATATTTCTTGATTGAGAATATATATACATATTTCTCAACTGATAGATAGATAGACAAAGGTATATATCAGTTCTGCTCTGTGCACTGTAGAGAGGAAAGATCTCAAAGCAAACCCTCCTCCGTACCTCCCAAACACCACACATTCAAACAGACTGGATTGGAACAATCATGGAGTAGAATTTGAGATGTATTATGAGCTTAAATATAATCTTGCTTTGGAATAACAATGAGATCATTATTTTTTCTTTACTACTCACTATGATTCCATTTTCATTTTATCATTTTACTAGGTATTTGTCCTTAATATATGCATTTCCTTACATTTTATTCAAAACAATATTATCTGTGAAATACACATTATTTTCCACGTGGGAAATAAATTTTCCTTCTCCATGTAGTTTTTCATAAGTATTAACTTTTTAGAATCCTCAGAAATAATCACTAATATAACCCCTATCACTTTCTAGGATATCATCTTTCATATATTTATGTTCCTTATTTTGTAATTCATTTGATGCTTATTACTCCAATCAAAAAATGAGCTCCTTGATGATAGAGAACTTCTAGAAGTGTTCCTGAGAGTGAAGCAAAGAGAATAACTTGTTCTCTTTTATTCTCTAATTTCTTTCTGTAAAAGGGTTAAATTTCACTCATGACACACTGATTACCTTAACTTGAAGGTTATATGATCAATGTTGGTCTTTGACTTATTATCTTACCTCTTTCAGATACAAAATGACTCCTTCAGCTCAAGTTTAAATCAACCCAGGGTTAGAAAAGTTTCAAGTAATGTATTATTCTAAGGACTAATTAAAAATATGTCCAGGGATAAAATTTCATATTAAGTTATCCCATTAATTTAATTTGTCTATACATTTGAGAGGAACTTATTCCAAGGATCAGTAAAGGGATGAAAAGGAAAAAAACATAATATGCATGCACCAGGACAGTGCCTCTCAAAATCTTGATGGTGAATAACTATTTTCTCCAATTCTTCATTATCAATACATCATAAAATTATAATGAAAAGAAGGGGAGGTGGGGCAAGATGGCGGACTAGGCAGAAGGATTGCACAGACCCTCTTCAACAAAGAAAAGGGAAACCAATTAACACAGACACAGA